GTCTTCGGCGTGACGAGCAAACGCTTTAACCACTAGGCTACCCCATCACCCTCATATCAAAGGAATATATGAACAAGTCAAACATGGAATTGCAAGGGACACCATTTTCACTCGTGCGTCAGTGTTGAAAACGTCTTGTGGCGGTTGATCTGTGAGCAGCATCAGCTGGTACATGGATTTCAACATTGTGGTAAGTGTGTCAGACCTGTATCACGTGTGACATTCCTCCCATGCTGAGAAGATACACCGGGACTGAACAACGTTTGAAAGTGGCGTTATATCCAAAATACTGAGATCCAAAGATTTAAAAAGTTGTTTACAGATATCATTATTATTTTAAATTCCGAATATACATATATTTATAAGAACTTGGACACAAGACAAACTCTAAAGTACACGCAACTTTATTTAAACCATTTTAAATGTGAATCAACTGTTAAATGAAAACTTGCAAAACACGCAATGGCCTTGTTGATTGACGAGTTCCCTATGCATTGTCTTTGTGGACCTACATTATCGGAGAGTCCTGTCTACAGTCTTTAAAACATCAAATACGTCCAAATGGCGAGTCGAGGCTTTGTTTCTTCGCGGTAACAGGTCCGTTTCCAGAGTATGTTTCACATTTCTTCCTACCCAAACAGAACTTGAACTTTAGCAGCAGTGTAGTTGATAGAAGGTCTGAGCGGTACGTAGGGTGTTCGATTCCTTGGCTGTGTCATTCCAAAAGACGTGAAAATATAGCAGTTGTTGTTACGTTGTATGTATCTCGGCATAGAACTCGGAGTCACTACACGGTGTCTGAGTGGGATATCCATGTGAACTGTACGGTATCTCAGTGGACCAGCACCATGGAACCGGCACAGGTACCAGCAGGCTTACACACACGTGCATGCACGTCTGGAGAGGAACGAAACAATAACTTGATTTCCCATCTCCTCCCCTACGGTTAATCACAGCAGATCGACGACATCGGTAAACAATAGCATGTTTTCAGACTGTTCAGATGCTGTAGCCACCCAGTGCCCAGCTTAGGCGTGTACTGGTAGGGTACCCCACCCACAAAACCCTGCAAACCCGTTTATAATCCTGCTGAATTTGACTTAGTCGAGCTCATCACACTACCGGTAAGCAAGACGACTGGTCAGCATGGTCCACACCACTGGTCAGCTGGTCCACGCTATAGGCCAGCATGGTCAACACTACTGATCCACACCACTGGTCAGCTGGTCCATACTGTTGGTCAACATGGTCAACACTACTGATCCACACCACTGGTCAGCTGGTCCATTCTGTTGGTCAACATGGTCAACACTACTGATCCACACCACTGGTCCGTTGGTCCACGCTATAGGTCAACATGGTCAACACTACTGATCCACACCATTGGTCAGCTGGTCCATACTGTTGGTCAACATGGTCAACACTACTGGTCCACACTACTGATCCACACTACTGGTCAGCTGGTCCATACTCACATGATACTGTTGGTCAGCATGGTCACCACTACTGATCCACACCACTGGTCAGCTGGTCCACGCTATAGGCCAGCATGGTTACCGCTACTGATCCACACTACTGGTCAGCTGGTCCATACTCACATGACACTGTTGGTCAGCATGGTCACCACTACTGATCCACACCACTGGTCAGCTGGTCCACGCTATAGGCCAGCATGGTCAACACTACTGATCCACATCACTGGTCAGGTGGTCCATACTGTTGGTCAACATGGTCAACACTACTGATCCACACCACTGGTCAGCTGGTCCATTCTGTTGGTCAACATGGTCAACACTACTGATCCACACCACTGGTCAGCTGGTCCACGCTATAGGTCAACATGGTCAACACTACTGGTCCACACCATTGGTCAGCTGGTCCATACTGTTGGTCAACATGGTCAACACTACTGGTCCACACTACTGATCCACACTACTGGTCAGCTGGTCCATACTCACATGATACTGTTGGTCAGCATGGTCACCACTACTGATCCACACCACTGGTCAGCTGGTCCACGCTTTAGGCCAGCATGGTTACCGCCACTGATCCACACCACTCGTCAGCTGGTCCATACTCACATGACACTGTTGGTCAGCATGGTCACCACTACTGATCCACACCACTGGTCAGCTGGTCCGCGCTATAGGCCAGCATGGTTACCGCTACTGATCCACACTACTGGTCAGGTGGTCCATACTCACATGATACTGTTGGTCAGCATGGTCAACACTACTGATCCAAACTGCTGGTCAACTGGTCCATACTGTTAGTCAGCACGGTCAACACTACTGATTCACACTGTGGAGTTTACGTATATAAAATTAATGATCGTTAGGATTCTGGGTGTATAATCTATAGACAAAAAGAGCTTTCACTAAATGGCCGAGTCGCAATAAAAGAACTGTCCTGTGTGTCGGTTAGATTTCAGCGTTCGGTTTCTTGGTGAATGCAGGGTTTCATTTTGCAATTTTCCTAGTAGTAACTAAACTATATTTAAGTGTAAAAACCTAACTTAATTTACTTGATCAGTCCACCGACCTCTCACATATGATCACAGCTCCGCTTGCTGGAACTGTGTAGCGCACCATACACTTAAAATACACCCGTCCATGTATACCCCATGATCACAGGGTACAGCAAGTCTCAATAAACTAAGGCGAATGTTGCACATTTTACATGCGCTTCGATCAGTTTGATTGCTTCGCTTTTCACAGCCACCGTGAAACGACTGATGTGGTGAACAGTATACTTCCGAGTACTTCATGTAGAACGTGCTGCACGTGAAACGCCGACGTCACAGAGAGTGTAGTAGCGCATTGTTTTATTTGTTTTTTAACGCCACACTCAGCTTCATGGCGGCGGGCTGTAAATAATCGAGTCTGGACCAGACAATCTAGTGATCAACAGAATTAGCATCTATCTACTCCATGGGGATACGCTGACATGTGTCATCAATGTGAGCGAGCCTGACTACCCGACTCCTTTAGAAGTCTGTTGTGACAAGCATGGGTTGCTGAAGACCAATTCTAACCAGGCTCTTCACGGGTCCCAAGGAATGTCTACTGAATTGAGATAGAATAATACAATGAGTGAGTGAGTTGTGTTTTACACCGCTTTTAGCAATATTCCAGCAATATTACGGCAGGGAACATCAGAAATGGGCTTCACACATTTTCCCATATGGGGAATCGAACCCGGGCTTGACGAGCGAACGCTTTTACCACTAGGCTACCCCACCCCCCGAGAATACAATGAAGACAAACTCTGTATTTTGGATTATGTAACACATGTATAATATATGTGTTTTCCAATATTGATAATACTTTTTACACAAATATTTCCATGCAACTTCCTGTAAGTGTATGCTGGTGGTTGATAGTATGAACAAAGTCCCACACCACCAGATCACGATGACATACAGTGACTGACCGTCCGAGCCCCAGTTAAGTCAGCTCTTGCGATAACCACTATGTACTTGGGATATATAGTGACATACATATAACAATAGTCGATACGTGAGTGGGTGTAACGTGGTTCTTAGGTCACCATGCCCCAACGACGTTGAACGTTGTTCATACTATTAATTGGCTTGCCTTGTCAATCGCTGATTATAAATAGCTCTATGTCATACAGCAGAATAATTGTTGACTGCGGCGTAAAGGGACATTCACTCACCGACGGTTTGGTGATTATTGCCCTTACATAGCGAACTGCATGCACGTGTGTGTATGTGCGTGTGGATGCTTGAACTTATTCAGTTTTACAGCTTGTTCAGCTTGACCTGATCAAGTGAATACTAAATTGCAATGCGCGACCGTGTCACAACTGGTTGGGTCTATTATTGTGAAGGGGTGCACCTTTATCAGTTGATCGTCAACATGTTCGAACAGTCGAGACAAGGTCGTTTAACATTCACGGGACTGCCTCCGTGGTGTAGTGGTTAGAGCGTCCGCCCGGAGAGCGGAAGGTCGAGGGTTCGATCCCCTACTGCGTCATACCAAAAGACGTTAAAATATGGTACTTGTTGGTCCCTGCCTGGCGCTCGGCATTAATGGGTACAACAAGGACTGGTCGGCTCGACGTCAGTATAATGTGTCTGAGTGGGGTATTCATGCTTCACTGCGGCATGGTATCTCTGGGTTAGCACTATAAAACCAGCTTCAGTCTTGGCTTGTACAAGCAGCCGCACATACACACGCATGCACGTCGTCATATGAGCGAAATATTCTCAAGCACGACGTTAAACCCAATTTCACCTTACCTTTAACATTCACGGCTCCCCTATTTAATGAAGTTAACTCGACCTGCAGTTTGAGACAATTGACCTCCTGGGTCATGCATATGTAGAGCAGCTCAGGTCAAGCTGAACATGCTGTACAATCCTTGCTTAAGGCCACTGAGGTGCCTTCTGTATTTTATCACGGACATCCACTTCTGACTCTTCCAGTCATCAATATAAACCCCATAATGTCCAACACCATGCTGTTCTCCATAGAAAAGGCGTGTACATTAGCATAATTGTAATATATTAAGTATTGTATAATACAAAATAATACACAATGTAGCGTTTTAAAGAAATATTCTAATGCCAAATGATACAACTACATGAACTTGCTTGTTATGTATTCCATATTAGCGTTTACTGTTTATTCAATACCAGTGATGGTGCGGGGCGATAGTAGATGCAGCTACATGAACTTGCTTGTTATGTATTACATATTAGCGTTTACTGTTTATTCAATACCAGTGATGGTGCGGGGCGATAGTAGATGCAGCTACATGAACTTGCTTGTTATGTATTACATATTAGCGTTTACTGTTTTTCAATACCAGTGATGGTGCGGGGCGATAGTAGATGCAGCTACATGAACTTGCTTGTTATGTATTACATATTAGCGTTTACTGTTTTTTCAATACAGCTGTACCAGTGATGGTACGGGGCGATGGTCGATGCAGCTACTGAACTGCGGATTGCACAACGCAACAAGAAACAGTCATCGGAGGAAGTGGTTTAATTATTATAGTACACGAAAAGAATATATAAATTGTGGGTGGAAATGTATGTACAAACTAATAAGTACACATAATAAACAAAACACTAATGCCAACTACAAATAAACTAGGCGTTTTCAACAGAAAACAATAGAACCAATATAACAAAGGTAGGTCTTCATACAATAAAGTCTTGTAGGTGGAAGGCAGTAATAGGGTAAGGATGGACTATACATGATTGCACACAACTGGATCATTGGTATTGTGTCATTTCATTCATACACAATTCATTCTGGATGTGTTTTGATCGCTTGTGATCTATCAGGGTGATCAGTTCCTATAAGGCCGACTACCAAAGAGTAACAGGAGAGCGACTTGACTCGTATCTCATCAACATGCCAATGTGGTTTGGATATCCATTTGAAAAACGCTCTTTTTGTTTCCAGCTTCCAACACTATTCTGTATTAATCAACGAAGACTGGCCTTCGTCAAGACATTTGACAGTGACACAATTCAGAACATTTGTGAATACATTCAAACAATATCCCGTCAGTAACAGCTGCTGCCACGTTGTTGACGCTTAATAATGTCATTGTCAACGGAAGCCTTCTACTAGGAGATTAAACATAATTTATTGATCTTGTGGTCATTTATTTGTGTCTCAATTCAGTGCGCACCGATTTCTGGGTTAACCTCTGCATTTCAGTTTGACACCACCTCGTAACAAATTGATAGAATATAGTCTAACACTGTTACACAAGATCAATAGAAGATAGAATATACAATCATATATATAAACCAACATAACATATTCTTCGTACGCAAATGTTGCTTAATGATGAACAGCTCGCCGCAGATGGGATAAGTACTGTTATGCGAGGTTACACTTTAAACAATTTAACACTGCTCTTACAAATGCACACATAGCTACAATATCGTATAAATGCATGTACAATAGTATTATTTCATAAATCCTAATACATATTTCTATAATTTCTTTACAGATTTATGTGATTTCTTAAATCGGCGTCTGTTGTCCTTGTTTTTGTTCTTGTTTTTCCTGCGCCTGCGCCGACGTCTGAGATTCAGGCTCCGGAACTTCCGGCCGTCCCGGATGCGATTCAGTCTCCTCTGGTTGATGAGTCTGCGCCGCCGGTTGTCCTTCCCGAAAGCCCCTACGATGTAAGCCTCGATCTCACATTCGTTCTCACCACGAACGATACGGAAATAGCCGTTCTCACCCCAGTCGGTGCCCCATGAATTGGCGCACAGCTGGAAAATACACGAGAGTAAAGATTTTGATTGGTTGTATAGAATGAAGTGGATATTTTTGTATGCTTTATTGTTTTATTGTTTGTTTTCTTGGACAATATCAAAACTACGTAATGACGGTCGGACCAGAAAATCAAGTGAACAAATACATTTGCAAGTTGTTGGTTGGTTGGTTTCTGTTTAATGCCTAACTCATTAAACATTCCAGCTATAGTGCGGCTGTCTGTAAATAATACATTAGAATCTGTACAAGGCAATCCAGTGATCGACAGCATGAGCACCGGTCTACGCAAATGGGATACGGTGACATGCGAGTCTGACCACACGATCCCGTTAGTCGCTGTAGACCAATTCTTTACGGGCCCATTGGTAAGTGAGCACTTCTTCGGGGTATGACAAAAGAATTTGTGACCCGTATATTCCAATTTTGATTGCCTCGAGAATACAAAGGGAAAACACACTGGAGACAGAACTGGATATCTATATGAAGGAGAGGTTAATAGAGTTAGATCGACATATATTACGTACGTTTCATATCCATTAATCTTGAAATCAGTCAAAGTAATTTCAAAATGTCGGCTTACCCAGTACTTGACGATATCGCCTTGAAATGTACGCTCGACGCCCCATCTGGATGAAGAAAGAAATGTGATACAGGCTATGCTACACTGAAAATATATACTGGACATTGCTCCATCATCCTCAAAATTCTGTTCACAAACATTATCGAGGGTACCACAAGACGAAACACATTGCTGGCATAGGCGGATCCAAGAATTATCAAAGGGAGAGAGGGGGGGGGGGGGTGTGTGTTTGGCTTGGCTTGACCTCCCCTCCCCTTGGATCCGCCAGTTGCTGGGCAAAAGAAAATTTACACGTGGAAACTGGAATTGACCACAAAATTTAAAACGTTATCAAACCATTAGTAATACTGTGCTGAAACTAACGCTGAGACGCTGAAAGCTTAGAGTCCAATACACAACTATATAAAAGGTACCTATGATGTCAAATGCATCACCGTCCGATATCTGTAACAGTCTTTCTTATTTGTTTCAGTCGCAGAAACAGGTGTACATACGGGAACAGGTGTACATACGGGAGTTTATACGGTGTGTGGTTGTACTGATACTGTGAGGGGATGGGTGACTAGCTCCGTTCGACCCCATGATAAGTGTGCAAAAATGTATATTGAAGCTGCAAACTGCCATGTAGACTGACAGGAAGTTGCTGGGAATTTTCCCTGTACTAATGGCATTTGGTGAAAGTAGTGAAGGCATATAATCCCAACACGCACGGAGCTTCGCTACTTTAGCATTGTTCAAACGTGGGGATTCGAAATCGACAAACGCGTCAACCACCATGCTATGCCTCCATCAACCACAACTAGTTCCAACATTATTCCATGAAGCCGACAGCTACTGACAGCTTATAATTATTTAACCTTAGTGCAGTCATATCACGGTGTGTTAACAAGATGGTGAAGGGAACCCAGAAATAACATAGTATGACCCATGAGCCTAGGTATTGTGGCCCCAGCTACTGAAAGCACTTTTCATTCGTATTGGTCACTTCTGATACTGGGGCGGCGGGGTAGCCTAGTGGTTAAAGCGTTCGCTCGTCACGCTGAACACCCGGGTTCGATTCCCCACATAGGTACAATGTGTGAAGCCCATTTGTGGTGTCCCCCGCCGTGATACTGCTGGAATATTGCTAAAAGCGGCGTAAAACCATACTCACTCACTCACAACTGATACCGATTGTGTCGTATGAAAACCCAACCTCCGTAATTGGGTTTACCAGTTTCAAGGTAGTTGGCAGGTGAGGTCGAGGTTTTCCGCCAAACCAGAGCGTTAAACCATAAGAAGCGTAATAAAATCTAACTATTTGTCTCTTCTTATGGACATCGTATTCAACAATACTGTTCGGTCACATGTGTGTGTGGCATAACAAGGGTCAGTATATGTGTCATTACATTAGGACACCGATGGGTACAGTTCAACATAACATAACAGACCAAAAGGGGTTGGGAAAGTCTAAACTGTCTGAAGCACTCGTATATGACCTACCCGAGAATCCTCACTGAGTGGTACCCTATTCGACTGGATTCGCTGGCCTCACCACGGGTGATCTCACTGTAGCGGTATACGCCTCCCTTGTACATGTAAAAATCCTCTTTCACGGTGAATGTGGCTGGAAAAGAAAATCTCCACACATCCAGTTTCACACTTACAGGCAATAAGTTGTCCGGACATATGCTTCGCAACCACAAGCGACAAATCGGTCACTTTGTTGTTTTACGATAGTGCCTGTGTCACTTGTAGCAGTTACGTAAAAACGTTGTTTCACAAAAATGAAACATACTTCCATAAAAGAAATAAGGGCATAAAGTTATTTATTTCAAATACTGATTTGAAGGTGGTGATGTTTTCAAGCAATATGAAATTGAACGTTGCCTTAAGAAGAATGTGTTAGTGAATAACTGTCAATTAAGCATGAACAACACACATTATAAAAATTACTTCCTTCACACAAATTTATCTACGGATCCAAAAAACAAGAACTAATATAAATCGTGGGCTGCAGGAATACACATGTATACTCTGATAGGCGTCTAGATACTGGGGTATAACTACTGTATACTATACCTTGGACTGGTCCGTTGTGCTGCAGGAAATACACGTGTATAGTCTGATAGGCGTCTAGATACTGGGGTATAACTAGTGTATACTATACCTTGGACTGGTCCGTTGTGCTGCAGGAAATACACATGTATAGCCTGATAGGCGTCTAGATACTGGGGTATAACTACTGTATACTATACCTTGGACTGGTCCGTTGTGCTGCAGGAAATACACATGTATAGTCTGATAGGCGTCTAGATACTGGGGTATAACTACTGTATACTATACCTTGGACTGGTCCGTTGTGCTGCAGGAAATACACGTGTATAGTCTGATAGGCGTCTAGATACTGGGGTATAACTACTGTATACTATACCTTGGACTGGTCCGTTGTGCTGCAGGAAATACACATGTATAGCCTGATAGGCGTCTAGATACTGGGGTATAACTACTGTATACTATACCTGGGACTGGTCCGTTGTGCTGCAGGAAATACACGTATATAGCCTGATAGGCGTCTAGATACTGGGGTATAACTACTGTATACTATACCTTGGACTGGTCCGTTGTGCTGCAGGAAATACACATGTATAGCCTGATAGACGTCTAGATACTGGGGTATAACTACTGTATACTATACCTTGGACTGGTCCGTTGTGCTGCAGAAAATACACATGTATAGTCTGATAGGCGTCTAGATACTGGGGTATAACTACTGTATACTATACCTTGGACTGGTCCGTTGTGCTGCAGGAAATACACATGTATAGCCTGATAGGCGTCTAGATACTTGGGTATAACTACTGTATACTATACCTTGGACTGGTCCGTTGTGCTGCAGGAAATACACGTGTATAGCCCTGATAGGCGTCTAGATACTGGGGTATAACTACTGTATACTATACCTTGGACTGGTCCGTTGTGCTGCAGGAAATACACGTGTATAGCCTGATAGGCGTCTAGATACTGGGGTATAACTACTGTATACTATACCTTGGACTGGTCCGTTGTGCTGCAGGAAATACACGTGTATAGCCTGATAGGCGTCTAGATACTGGGGTATAACTACTGTATACTATACCTTGGACTGGTCCGTTGTGCTGCAGGAAATACACGTGTATAGCCTGATAGGCGTCTAGATACTGGGGTATAACTACTGTATACTATACCTTGACTGGTCCGTTGTGCTGCAGGAAATACACATGTATAGCCTGATAGGCGTCTAGATACTGGGGTATAACTACTGTATACTATACCTTGGACTGGTCCGTTGTGCTGCAGGAAATACACATGTATAGCCTGATAGGCGTCTAGATACTGGGGTATAACTACTGTATACTATACCTTGGACTGGTCCGTTGTGCTGCAGGAAATACACATGTATAGCCTGATAGGCGTCTAGATACTTGGGTATAACTACTGTATACTATACCTTGGACTGGTCCGTTGTGCTGCAGGAAATACACGTGTATAGCCTGATAGGCGCCTAGATACTGGGGTATAACTACTGTATACTATACCTTGGACTGGTCCGTTGTCCATAATTTCTTTCATGATTTCCCTCTCCTGCAAATATAGAAACAGTTCAACATGACAGCCATCCGTGATCGATTGATTTTCCGTTAAAATCAGAGGAACAAATAATAAAGTGCTGTTGTATACTTCAAACAAAGAAGAGAAAGAAGATATAGTGGATGTACTCCTAAACAAGGCAGAGTGTTGTAGTCGCCATTCTATATTTACAGTTCCTGTAAAAGTCACTATAGCAAACACAAAACAGGTAAGAGATGCGTCATAACAGGAGAACTCCAGTGGCGTGTCAAGCAGAGAATAATAGCCGTAGAGCTACGACTTGGAAGGTTACACTGTATGACCTGGTCGACTGCGTCTGGAATGATGCTCATTTTATTAACCACTGGTTAACCGACTCGAGACTCGATTACTTACACGCCTCCTTGGTTGCAATATATCTGTGAAAGACACCAATGATTTGTGAAAAAATCCTAAAAGTTTTTATGTAGACATATTTTCGCCTCCTCGGAATACTGCAACAATATTTTACCAAAGGTTACAAGTGTGCGACATGAGGCAGGTACACATCAGGATACATTACAATGTACTTAATAAAGCTCTTAGTTCTCGTGACCCGGCGCGTGGTGTGTAGATTTGTCACCTAGCAACTGTTTATACAATAGACCTCCACGACGGGTGTGGTAAGTGAGTAAAAAGTTCATGTAGCAATAATTGGTAACACATATATAAGCCTCGACAAAATATATCATGTTTCAAAGTTGGCAGCCTCACAGTCATTAAAGAGCAGTGACCTAAACAATATACACGTTTACATCAGTTAGAACATTTTGACCAATCAGCATCCTCCGCCATCAACCTATGCGGGTTGACAAGGTGATTATGGTGACATATCGTTATATCCCAGTAACCTACGGTTCTGGTAGGCATTCGACAGAGAGACTGTTAATACTGATACGGAATACTGTCTGAACACTCTAGGATGCACCGGAGTTTACAGGTTTGGGACGTAGACCCCGACATGTGACGTGGGAGAAGCTGTAGTTGATATTTATCCCACCTGGAAATTGTTATATTAAGAGACCACTCGACTCAGACTGGTTTCTCTTGAAACAAAGAAAAGGAAGAGAAAACATCTGGGTGTTGACGACAGACTGAATCAAGGTCGTGGCTTGTGCTGTATACTCGCATTTTTGCTACTTAACTCATTTGTTATGGAAACCATATTGAATGTTACCATTCAGCGAGAAAATTGTGGAATGTTGTATAAGATCACATTGGCATTAGTATTATTGAATCACTTCACGTTAAATCTATCTGTTTTCAACAAAATATATTATTGTTTCCGTGCGTTAATTTCCTTTCAATTAAAAAAAGTACAAACTTGCCCTACGTACATTCTTCAACAGGGATACGATCTTGAGAACTGAGTCAACAATTAAAGATCAAAGTAAATACTTGTGTATGTAATCTGAGGATAGTCTCCCTTGACAGATAGGTGGACAAGAAAAGCTGTTCAATCTGACAAGTGAATAGCCCAGTCTGATATTGATGTTAGAAAGCCCATTACGCCGTCTTTGTTCTGTAAGTAGTTCCACAAACAGACTACAAGAGGCGCAGGCAGGTACGTGGGTGCTCACAGATACAGTGACATGAATCGCGCAACAGATACTGGAGAGAAAGGGAGATCACTCGTGTTAGCTGCATATTTGCGTACTATGTAATCATTGGTGCATTGGTTGATATTCGTATACTGTGTTGGAAAATGTAGGCGAAATAATGCGGACGGCGACGAAACGCCATTGTGGCTGTCATCAACAGCAAGAATTCGTGTCTGCGCCAACGTGGAACTAACCGGTTCGCGCTCGCTGTTGCAGGTTCAGACGTGTGTATTCTTGTGGACGTAAGAACACTTGGCCTGTTTTTATTTCATCCTTTGAATTAGACAAGACGACTATTTCTTTTCGCGAACAGCTGGCGTCATCACTGGTTTTCAGGTGTCCACGAAGAGGTGTCTTCTATAAATCCTCGGGCAGTAAATACTAACTTTAGGTTGAAGGCAAACTGTTTCAAATTTTGACATTCTTAGTTCCCTTGTCGCGAACACCTGGTGTCATAACAGATTTTCAGTGGTCCGTTCATATAATGTTCACTATTTTCACATTAACATCAAATGGAATCTGTTTCTGAGGACATGACTGTTCTTTTTCACTGACGTTTAATATTTAATAATTAATCACCAAAACCAAAAACATACATATGATTGCAATCAAATCCAGTAACCATTTTAATATGAGTTGGCTTGAGGGACACGATGTAATGCCTAACGTTGTTTGGGGGTAACTCATTTATTTCTGCGTTGATCACAGCTTTTGCTGTTACGAAGTCTTGCACAAACCTTGCGAATGGGTATCTGTGTATGATGTACTCGATTATTTGCCATGACCACCATGAAATAGCTACAATATGGTGTCAGTGACGTAAAACATCACTTAGTTATTCACACTGTACTGGAGAAAGGATCAAACGCCAGTGGCAGACACTTTGACTCAAGATGAGAGGCAGCGCCATTGTAAATACAGGCTGAAGACATATTATGATATTTACCAACGTATACACAAGCATATGTTTCGCTGTTTCATTCTCATTGATCAAGATCAGGCAGCTTTGGCAGAACAACTTCACTCGGCTTGTAACAGACCCTCACCGCTGAGGATGAGGTAAATTAAGGACGCTGGCGTATTTTGTTTACTGTGTCTTGTCTGTATGTCCTTGTTCTTCATAACATTAATATTCTATTTTAGTATCGGCGCATGTGTGGGTTTATAGAAGCTATCTTAACACGGCGGTACACAAGACAACACAAGGCACTGAAATACACATGACGCATCTCACGGCGTTACAGAATTATATCACAGATGGTAATATATGACGTTATAGAATTGTAACTCGTTATCCAATAAACGTATGACTTTAGTTTATGTACACAGATTTATTTGTTTGTTTGTTTGTTGTTTATCCCCGCACTCCGCATTATCTCAGGTATATGACGTCCGTCTGTAAATAATGCGCTTGGACCAGACAATCTAGTGATCAGCAGCATGAGCATTGATCTACGCACCTAGGAGCCTGACCACTCGATCCCTGTTAGTCGACACTTGGGACAAGCATGGGTCGCTTAAGACAAATTCTAACCCAATTTACACAGGTAAGAACATGAAACGTTACATCGTCGTGTTAAAAATCGTAAGCATATAGTTTTCTGCTCAAATTAATTCTACTAATGTTGATACAACTGCAGACAAATTGCACCCCTACTTGCGCAAAGCCTAGAAACCAGCTGCATCCCACATTCTGCATCACCTACCAGAGGACGTATCCTGTAGGGGGGCGTGGTCTTGTAGCGCTTCTCCATGCGAAACTCGATGCCGCTGGGGCAGTTGCCCTGGCGCTTCCGGGGTGCGACCAGACATTCGCCGATAGTGCTGGTCCTTCCGCTGGAGTAGGGGTAACATTCCTCTGTCACAAGCCTACAACACAAAGTATAGCTGCTTCACAGCGAACAGTTCACACAGTCTCCACTAAGCAATATTTTGCGTACAGGTTATCTCACTACCCTGTTATCAGTTAATCTCCGTGGACAACCCATCGGGGTTTTGATGTGAACGCTTGAAGTCGAATAAAAGGACATTCTGACGGACAAATATACTCATGGAAACGAATAAGGGAACACATGAAAGTACAAGTGTTCCTTTATTCTTTTCAAGGTTTCTTCACAAGGTATGTATTGCACTGTGAGTGAAATTCTGGAAATAAATTAAGGAACACTTGTACTTTAATGTGTTCCCTTATTCGTTTCTATGAGTATATATTCTATACAATTACAAGGATATCGTGAAATTTATAATTATCTTCATTTTGAATTTGGAAGTCGACCCATAAACGTTCTTGTGTTACTAAGATGGGATAAATACAAAATGCAATTACACCACTAAACTTTCGTAGGACTGCGTTATTCGTAAGCCCTTTATGAGCCACAAAGTTAGGAAAGGCCGTAACTCTACGAACGCTTCGTGGATCGGAACCTGATCTTTATATCCACATCGTGGCAATCCCTAAATGGTCCAAATCATTCAGAAGTATTATTGGGATATCCAGATCTATTTTGCAAGGTATGTGTCGTCCGGAATAATACTTTTCCGGTTCAGGGAATGTCCCGGCTAACGATTTTCTGTAAGTGACTTGAAGCTAGGCATAAGGACGTACCCTCTCCGCCTGAGGTAGTACCAGGCTCGGTCCAGGAAACCCCCGGCACAACCCTCCTGCTTGTCGCTGTTACAAGACAGAATGTGTTGAGGGGAGAGCTCCTCCTTGTAGTCACCCATAAACTCGATACCCAGGCGGTCGGATGCTACGGCTGGAGCAGAGACATTGACAACGGTCAGTGGTTCCGATTACGATGACCTATCGGAATGTATGGTTTGACTTTCAGAATTTTCGACAATGCTTCAAAATAAAGGGACAGAATACGAGTGAGTGAGTGAGTTGTGACTAAGCTGCTTTGGTATTTCGATAATATTAACCCTTGTCGGTTTAATGTGGGAGGGAAGCCTGGTGTAATATATACGTTTATCAGTTAAACAAAACCCATATACGCACGAGAATGCAGCTTATAAACCCATAAGTAACATCAAGGAAATCTAGAATCGAACTCGCCTTCGTATGTTTCTGAGCGGCACAAGGAAAGCAACTCATCACTACAAATTGAGGTGCCTTAGATTACCGGACTAACAAAGGTCCAAGAACAAGATTAAGATTAAGAACCCTTAAAATTAATTATTTGTGGTCGCCTTGACACCAACCTTTTTAAGTAAAGGCAAAACCCTGATAGTAGTTCTTTGGCCAGAATACATTGCCCGAGCTGTCATCGGTCACGGCAGTGTATTCAGTACCTTATGTAAGACACAAATCATTGTTCCTGATGTGTCCATCAGTAGCGAATACCTGTTGTTGAAAAGGCCCATGATGCACCGCAGTTTCCCTGGTCTCTTATCGGGCCGATGACTTCAGGCCATTTCTGGCTGGAGTCGAATGCTTCCGGAAGAACTTCGTCCAGCCTCACTTTGAGTGGCGTCATGCGCACAACGTTCGAGTCTAGCGGGAACGTCCCTAGGCGGTATTTGATGCCATCAGGTAACGTCATCCCCCACAGCGCCGAGTAGTTGCTAGCTGTCCATCTGTGAAATGATGTTCAATAGAGGGAAGGCTTTAGCCAAATAAAAGTCCCTGTACTGATCACAACACTGATTTTGACCTACACTGAAAACAGGAACCATAACCTACAGCGTATTCCATCTTAGAGCGCATTCAAGGCATGAATGATAATTATCGAGTGCCCGTCGGTTAATGAGTTGTTCATATTTCAGTTGTGAAATATTCAACTTCCGTTTGTTGTTTTAACGCTGTTGGAGTGAGTGAGTGAGTGAGTGAGTTTAGTTTTACGCCGCATTCAGCAATATCCCAGCTTTATGGCGACGGTCTGTAAGTAATCGAGTCTGGACCAGACAATCCAGTGATCAACAGCATGAGCATCGATCTGCGCAATTGGGAACCGATGACATGTGTCAACCAAGCCAGCGAGCCTGACCACCCGATCCCATTAGTCGCCTCTTACGACACACATGAGTACTGCAGATCACTTCTAACCCTGACCTTCACGGGTATAACGCTGTTGGAAAACAGGAAACCAAAAGAAGTCGGTAAATTGCGTGTATATCAAAAATTATTACCTTTCAGTCATGCTGCAATTAGTATAACAATTGTTTCATGAGCTAACTATCGAAGCTGAGTCTATTTACCCGTATCGCCCATCATTCACTGCGCGGATGAGTTCCGGTCTGATCAAACACACACTCTGGCTGCAGCGCCAGTCAAACCTCCTGGGTGGCCCGGAGAACACCTCGCACTTGCTAGGGTGAAAACAAAAGATGAAGTAGTTCCAACATGTGCTGCAAAGTGCACCAATTAAGAATAAGTAAATAAACTTTCCTTGTTGAAATGTTACATGCTCCACACTGGGATCCACTTACAGTGACATTCAACGAGGATTTGATGTAATAATGACATCTTATCCGGGCATTGAGTGTATATACTGTGTGTGACTTTAACTCTTTAAGGAATTGGGTTTAACTGTATATAGCGTGTCTTGAGACACATTATAAGGCCACTTAAAGCATATAATATGTTGTCAACCGGAGGTCTGTAACTGTGTACGTCATGTTGTCAACCGGTGGTCTGTAACTCTGTACGTCATGTTGTCAACCAGTGGTATGTAACTGTGTACGTCATGTTGTCAACCGGTGGTCTGTAACTGTGTACGTCATGTTGTCAACCAGTGGTATGTAACTGTGTACGTCATGTTGTCAACCAGTTGGTATGTAACTGTGTACGTCATGTTGTCAACCAGTGGTCTGTAACTGTGTACGTCATGTTGTCAACCAGTGGTATGTAACTGTGTACGTCATGTTGTCAACCACTGGTCTGTAACTGTGTACGTCATGTTGTCAACCGGTGGTCTGTAACTGTGTACGTCATGTTGTCAACCAGTGGTATGTAACTGTGTACGTCATGTTGTCAACCAGTTGTCTGTAACTCTGTACGTCATGTTGTCAACCACTGGTCTGTAACTGTGTACGTCATGTTGTCAACCGGTGGTCTGTAACTGTGTACGTCATGTTGTCAACCAGTGGTATGTAACTGTGTACGTCATGTTGTCAACCCGTGGTGTGTAACTGTGTACGTCATGTTGTCAACCGGTGGTCTGTAACTGTGTACGTCATGTTGTCAACCACTGGTCTGTAACTGTGTACGTCATGTTGTCAACCAGTGGTCTGTAACTGTGTACGTCATGTTGTCAACCGGTGGTCTGTAACTGTGTACGTCATGTTGTCAACATGTTGTTGTCAACCAGTGGTCTGTAACTGTGTACGTCATGTTGTCAACCGGTGGTCTGTAACTGTGTACGTCATGTTGTCAACCACTGGTCTGTAACTGTGTACGTCATGTTGTCAACCCGGTGGTCTGTAACTGTGTACGTCATGTTGTCAACCCGTGGTCTGTAACTGTGTACGTCATGTTGTCAACCAGTGGTCTGTAACTGTGTACGTCATGTTGTCAACCGGTGGTCTGTAACTGTGTACGTCATGTTGTCAACCGGTGGTCTGTAACTGTGTACGTCATGTTATCAACCAGTTGTCTGTAACTGTGTACGTCATGTTGTCAACCGGTGGTCTGTAACTGTGTACGTCATGTTGTCAACCGGTGGTCTGTAACTGTGTACGTCATGTTGTCAACCGGTGGTATGTAACTGTGTACGTCATGTTGTCAACCAGTGGTCTGTAACTGTGTACGTCATGTTGTCAACCCGTGGTCTGTAACTGTGTACGTCATGTTGTCAACCGGTGGTCTGTAACTGTGTACGTCATGTTGTCAACCGGTGGTGTACGTCATGTTGTAACTGGTGTAACGTGTACGTCATGTTGTCAACCACTGGTCTGTAACTGTGTACGTCATGTTGTCAACCCGTGGTCTGTAACTGTGTACGTCATGTTGTCAACCAGTGGTATGTAACTGTGTACGTCATGTTGTCAACCCGTGGTCTGTAACTGTGTACGTCATGTTGTCAACCAGTGGTATGTAACTGTGTACGTCATGTTGTCAACCCGTGGTATGTAACTGTGTACGTCATGTTGTCAACCAGTGGTATGTAACTGTGTACGTCATGTTGTCAACCCGTGGTGTGTAACTGTGTACGTCATGTTGTCAACCCGTGGTGTGTAACTGTGTACGTCATGTTGTCAACCCGTGGTCTGTAACTGTGTACGTCATGTTGTCAACCGGTATGTAATTGTGTAACTCAACCGGTGGTCTGTAACTGTGTACGTCATGTTGTCAACCGATGGTCTGTAACTGTGTACGTGATGTTGTCAACCGATGGTCTGTAACTGTGTACGTCATGTTGTCAACCACTGGTCTGTAACTGTGTACGTCATGTTGTCAACCAGTTGTCTGTAACTGTGTACGTCATGTTGTCAACCGGTGGTCTGTAACTGTGTACGTCATGTTGTTAACCACTTGTCTGTAACTGTGTACGTGATGTTGTCAACCACTGGTCTGTAACTGTGTACGTGATGTTGTCAACCGACGGTCTGTAACTGTGTACGTCATGTTGTCAACCGGTGGTCTGTAACTGTGTACGTCATGTTGTCATCCGGTGGTCTGTAACTGTGTACGTCATGTTGTCAACCGGTGATCTGGTCCTGCTGTAGTTACAGACTGACATGACGTACATGCAGCTTGAATATAACTGCGGCCTGTAACTACACCTGTAACTGCGGCGTTTCACAGTCACACATATTAAAATACTCTCACCACTCGTTGCAGTTCTCCTTGTATGTCTGACCAGGTTGGTACAGCACGCCATTCTTTATACAGTTATCTGAAAAGATCAGCATTACGTTTGAGACACTTCATATTTATATACATATTAAACACCCGAGAATAACCATATTCGACTATGAGAAGAAACAGGTTCCACTTGGCGTAAATGCAACATAGTGGTGAAAAGTACATGAACAGATCACTGAAATTCTCTTAACACGGGGGATCCGTTTCACATTGTCGTAGATCTATGTTAAAGTAAGGGAGTTACGATTATCTTAGGGCTAAGATCGCTTTGTGGAGCGAGGCCAATAACATAGTCATGTTAGCGTTACGACCGTCGTAAGTCTATGTTAAAGTAAGGAAGTTACGATCATCTTGGCGCAAAGATCGCTTTGTGGAGCGAGGCCAATAACATAGTCATGTCAGCGTTACGACTGTCGTAAGTCTATGTTAAAGTAAGGAAGTTACGATCGTCTTAGCGCCAAGATCGCTTTGTGGAGCGAGGCCAATCACAAAGTGATCTTAACGTTATCGTGGTCGTAACTCCAAGAAACTAATTGACAAAGGCACAGTCTGTTTAATGTTAAAGTAAGGAAGTTACGATCATCTTAGCGCCAAGATCGCTTTGTGGAGCGAGGCCAATCACAAAGTGATCTTAACGTTATCGTGGTCGTAACTCCAAGAAACCAACTGACAAAGGCACAGTCTGTTGGCCTTTACTCAAAGCGATCTCAATGTTAAGATATATCGTAAGTAAGTAAGCTCGTTTTATGGAAAAGACCTCCGAGGAGGAAGCACTTCGACAGCTCTGATGTCCGTCTTCAATGAACTTTCTTATCCCACGCCATACCATGACAGCTATGCATAACTGTGTCTACGAACGCTGACACACCAAGACGTATTTGTGTGAACTGTCACTCAAAGGGCTTGAACTAAGTTGAAAACGAATTTCGTCTTGTGGCAGGTAGACTGCTTTTCCCGCAAGTAATGTTGTTGTAGGAAAACTTTCTATGTTCTTAATGTCGTATTTCGAGTCAGTATACCCCATTAAATTTTAATGTTAAATTTAAATATTAATGCTCGCTTTAAATTTGCAAACACCTTAAGTTTTTATATTTGTTATTATGTACATATATTCTGTAATAAATACGAAGGACGCAGCATGTTGCAGGCGTAGCCAGTTGATCAAAGTCGTTTTACCATCCCTTCATAGTGTGTTAAGTCAGATGTTATGTTTAATAGGAGTTGATAATAACATATTTCTCTGAGGTAGAAAAACGTTCACGAATACGATTACCTGCTTACTTCCGATCTCGTACTCAACTCAGTCCTCAGACTCTTCAAACGAAGGTTATTAATAAACGGAGTTCGTGTTCTAGTTGTTTTACTGTATGAATTGAGTTGAGCTGAGTTGAGTTGGGTTTTACGTCACATCGGCATTATTCCAGCCATATAGTGACGAGAACAAGTCTGCATTAGTAAACATTGTAAGTACAGAGTCAAATGAGTTTTATTTCAAAAACATATATTCATTACATTGTCATTTAATAACAGAAATAGTCATAGCACTCAATTTAAAAGCAGGCAATTTGTTAGTCACATTACACAGTTACAATTTATGATACAGATAAACTTCCCTCAGGTAGTTCACTATCAGATGAGCGTTCACGCGGGAGAACAGATCTTTCAAATTTGTTGCTTCGTAATGTGAGTCCCTTGCAGACGATAAGTCCACGCAGTCAAGCAGAATATGCTTGATGGTGAAAAACTCATCGCAAGAGACACACATGGGGGGTCCATGAGGCAACCGACTGTGGCAAATACGACATCGTCGTAAAATTACCTTATCACGTCTTGACTGACAAACCAAGTAGGTATAACCAATTGTTGGCTTCAATTCATACAGTCTATTTCTTCCTACTTGAGTGTCCGACCTTTTTTGCATAAGGTCCCGAGTATAGCTTTTGATAGTGGGTTGAAATACGTATGGCTTCAAATATGCCTTGGAATACTTACTACAACGTGAAGAAAAGGCTAATTTCATCTCATTTTTTTTCAAAATGCGTTTGTTATTAACGTTTAAATTAGTAGGCTACACGTTTAATAAGGCAATTGTTCATGAGATCATATGATACAAATCTGTCTCACAGTCTCTGAACCACATTATATTCCCTACTGCCTTGCCCTCCTTGCAATGCTAAAGCCCTAAATGAAGCAAGTCTAGATTTCCTCAGGTTCAGGCTCTGAATCTTCCATCTCATTGGGGCTCCTCTTCAGTGAGTGAGTGAGTTTAGTTTGACACTGCTTTTAGCAATATTCCAGCAATATCGCGGCGGGGGATACCAGAAATGGGCTTCACACATTGTACCCATGTGGGGAATCGAAACCGGGTCTTTGGCGTGACGAATGAACGCTTTAACCATTAAGATAACCGCCCCCCTCTTCAAGTTAAATGGGTTTATTTATTATTATCACAATTAAAAATAATATATTCTGACTGATTCTAAGCGTTAGTCTAGGTATAAGTACCCACATAGGTACCCATGTTGGGAATCGAACCCGGGTCTTCGGCGTGACGAGCGAACGCTTTAACCACTAGGCTACCCCACCGCCCCGAATTGCCTAGGACATCAGTTTTGTCACAAGTGTGTCAAATCTGAAGATGTCCCACACATGTCAGCCATAAAAATTAACATTTAATGTTGTCAACGTGGTCAAAGAACTTTTGAACAAGAAACGTCAGACGGCATAGTACATCAGCATAGAAAGGGCATGCATATTCATTATTGTATCATAAATACAGACCTCTAATATTGAAATTAATACTGAAAAATATGATCATAACAAAATATGTGATGGCGTCTCTGATATACAGCTATATGGAATCTCATAACGCTTTCTTCATTATCGTTCGGTGTCTGTCTTCTCACTTCTGATGTCCTCTATAGATTAACACCATTCAGTGGCTAGGACATATACAACACACTGTTGCTACACACAGTGACAAGCTGGACAGGCTGACCATCTGTGGTCAGCAGTTGTTGTTTATAAAACAATGGACGAGAATGACAGCTTTATACCGACAGCTATATCCAGCCCCCTTTGATATTAAAAATGTGAGTGTACTCGCCTGAGGTCGACAAGCTCGCATCAAAGCTTTTGACAACAGAGAGGCATTCATCTTCTTCGTAGTTATTAATTCATAAATTCTGAGAACGTATATGTTTGTAATCTCGGCATGATATGCCCGACACATGTGAGAACTTTATCTGTAATTTGTGTATCTACGTCAAGTGTGTATTATCCCACGTGGTACCCATATTTTGCATGTCAGCCCTTAACACGCAGCTCTGTGATTGTGTCCAGATTGTGGATTGAGATGACAAGTTGTCATTTCACCAACAAAGAATTTTAAATATATGCATAAACAGAAATATGCATCGTCAACAAAATTCTTGGAAAGAGTATGTTTTTAAAAAAATAATACAAAATCAGCAAATCGTTCAAATTCTGGATGTCAATCCAACTACTGGCAACCGTGTATATCTAATTAAACTGTTCTCTTTAGGGGTAGAACCTTGGATGTCGGCTGATTTATCTGAAGTCTGTAATAATACTTGCTCTTGTGAATAGGTAGTCTGGGGTAAACCTCGTGAGCTTAATTTATATATTTTCAATAAAATTTATATTTTGACGGACAGTTTATAATTCAAATCCAAACGTCGCCCTGCAGTAGTGGTGTGGCGGTAGATATTCCAGAAGCTTTCATCTTTGTGATACGTTTTATATCTATGCGATCACATAGACGCTCACCTTAAAAAATACCTTGACTACGTGGAATTTGATCACACTGGATTGTCCATATAAAGGAAATACAAATGCATGCATTTCTCTTTTATTAATGTCATTCTGTATGTAAGCACATTGCTGATATCGGCTTGTATTTTACGTGTAGACCAATACTTGCAGCATCAATAATGTGCGTTTGCTTCGTAAATCACAGTCTGTCTCCCTAAACATTAACTAATAAAATAAAAGGAATTCATCTAACTCGAGTCTAGAAATATTTGGCAAGTCTAGGATTACCTCAGATCTGAAATTAGGCATCGTTTCGAGTTCCATTTGGCCTTGATTTGTAGATATATATTGTCTAATAAGACTATCTTATTTCTCTCACCAGATGTCGTAAATCATAGCGTCTAAGGACATTGAGTAACTTTCTGTGTGGACCATTGTGATCGCAGGTTCGTAGCCAAAATATCTAGAAAATAAACAGTATAAATCTAACAGAAGACAGTAGAAAAATAATTTGCTGATCAAGTAATGTATGGAATAAGGTGAGGTGAGGTGAAATTGGGTTTTAACGTCGTGCTTGAGAATATTTCGCTCATATGACGACGTGCATGCGTGTGTATGTGTATGTGCGGCTGCTTGTACTAGCCCAGACTTCAGCTGGTTTTATAGTGCTAGCTCGCTGACATACCATGCCGCAGTGAAGCATGAATACTCAGACACAGTATACTGACTCGGAGCCGACCAGTCCTTGTTGTACCCATTAATGCCGAGCGCCAGGCAGGAACCAACATGTACCATATTTTAACGTCTTTTGGTATGACGCGGTTGGGGATCGAACCCGCGACCTTCCGCTCTCCGGGCGGACGCTCTATCCACTACACCACGGAGGCGGTCTGTATGGAATAAAGCTGACATTACTGTATATGACTTTAAATAATAACCACATATTACCCTCTACCGTACGGCTGACCATTCCATTGCCACTTCTAACAAAGTGGCACCGATAGCGTTATCTAACTGAATACTTGAGCCAGTGCTTGTTTTACCGGCACGGGCACCTGCAAGGAATATGGCAAAGGCTGTTGAGGTCAATGCAGTGGATACCATCTATCGACTGACCAGCATGCAGTGGTCATCTAAGCCCACCTTGCCAGGCATGAAGTTGCTTTAAATGTTGAACCTGGCCTGACCTAATGTATCCTCTACTTTCGTTCCAGCCACGTATAAGTGAAGCTTCGTGTTACACGGTGTTCACTGGGT